GGCGGGGGGGGGGGGGCGAAGAGAAAAGGGTTGGGTAAACAAAAGTTTGAGTGAGTAAAAGGTTGGGTATATGAAACTAAACAAAACAATTCAAGGGTTGGGTAATAAGAATTTATTGTCATTTCCAAAGCATGACTTTCTCAAATACTGAAGACTGAAAAGCAAAGCAATGTCAATACTTATGTGTCAATACCGTTGACAAATCAATCAGTCACTATCTTGATCATTTTCCCATTTGTCAGGAGGAGAATGGTATCGTGAGAAAGAAAGTACTTTTTCCAACAGTGTCGTAACACTGGAATTTGTTTCAGAATCCTTGCTATGGAAATAGTATTGATCTTCTATACAAATTGCAATTTCTATACTATGGATATACTACTTTTTGTATGGAAATAAGTACACTGTTGGGTATACTGTGGATTTAGTCATGCAAGATCGCAAATTCCATAGTCATGAATTTCACTATTTCACTATTTTCTCCAGTGATATTTTAACTTAAATAGAATACATGCAGATGGCTTTAAAGTAAAGTAAATTCATTTTGATCCAATCCCAGTACTATAGACATGGTACCACTGGTACTAGTAGCAGGACCGGATAATGGGGTGACACCCCCAGAAATTATATTCAGTCGGCAGGACTGCTATTCAGTCGGTAGGATTGCTATTTGGGTTAAATATTTCCGCGCAAAGGGCAAGATATTTGGGTTTTTTGGGTAAATTTCCGAATTTTGGTATGAAAAATTGAGGTAAAGTCACTGGAAAGGACTTGTTGGTCTCCGAAAAAATTTTTTTCGTCAGTCGGTTGAAATGACCTTACACCTCCCCTGAAGAATTCCCTGAGGACGGCCCTGACTAGTAGTGAATTAATTTAAACCTTTGACTCTTGTGCAATACATTTTAGGCAATATTACAGTGCGGGTTCCTTCAGGAAGTCTAAATGACAACGCTTGGCACAAGGTTGTGGTGGAAAGGCGATCAAGATCTGTCAAAGTAACTGTGGATGACCTTTCTCAACGTGAGCATGAAATTTATACTAAGGGGTGTGTGGAGGGGGAGGGGAGCAGGGTATATAGAGCAGGAATTGAAAAGGGGGTTCTTGTATAGTATTTCTCGAGGTATTTCTTGTTAGCCTCGATTTTCAACACATTTTTTCGAGGTTTTGTACGCCGGCATGTTGGAAATCGAACCACTTGGAGAGTTTCCATACAGGATTTTGTGCATCTCATTCGATAGAACTAATCCCAGCGGGCAAAATGACGTTTATCCAACGTTGAATCAACGTTGGAAATGACCTTCCAGACGTTGGATAGACGTTGAAAAAGGGTTGACTATGCAAATTGGATCGACGTTGAAACAACGTTGAAATTAGGTTGCCAATCTCGTCAACCATAATTCAACGTTGAATCCACGTTAAAACAACGTTGAGATTGGTTCACAAATCGACGTCGTACATTTAACCATGAATGAACGTTAATTCAACGTCTGTTAGCTGCTGTTGAACCAATGTTTGTAAAACAACGTCAGAGCAACGTAGATATTAGGTTGTCGACGTCGCAACCTTTTTTCTACCAAATTTCAACGTTGAAACAACGTCGTGTGCCCGGTGGGATGGACCTTTAACCTTATAACTAAAATTTTGATCTAGACAAAAATTTCATCACAGCTTGAAAGAGCATCACAAAATTAGTAATATTCCAAAGTTTCGTTGCGAAATGTTGTAAAATGCGAATAATATAGCCTTGCGAAGTTTGCAATTTTCAGTCATTTTAGATTACAAACGGGAAATTGATACCCAAACACCCGATTTGGGTATCAATTTCCCGTTTGTAATCTAAAATGACTGAAAATACGAGGCTAGTTGGGCCAATTTATATGCACATAAAAGAATTTTTAATCGGCAGCCATTTATGAAAAGGGTGTATCGAAGGGAAGATGGCTGTGAAACTTATCAGAATAACAATACAACTTATTATCTATGTTGGTCAACTTTTACCCATAAATATGGTCCTTCACCGTCACATATTGTATTTTTGCCAAATCCACCAATAGCAATTTCCAATTTACCCTATTGTTCAAGTCACGGATAGGTAACTTTCCTAAAACATTGCGATTAGTTAGTTGGGCAAAAATTTAGACCAGATTTATGAATAAACGTTGATTAGCGTAGATAACGAGTTATACAGGGTCTCCCAAAAAAACTATTGAAATCACCAATAACAATTTAATTGTTAGAATTTGAATGCCTTAGCACTCTGTTGGTTCCCACGAGTGCATAAATGATTGACATAAGTAAATGTTATGCATAAAGAAACTGTTTAAGACTGCTGTTTTAAATTCCCAAGAGCAGAAAATCGCGCACTTTACAAGGAGATGTTTTTAACTAAATTTAATATATGCACCTTGTCAATATTTTACATGCATGTACGCATCATTACGTTCAGCTGTTTGGAAGGGCATTCAAATTTTAACAATAGTGATTTCAATAGTTTTCGGGTTTTTTGGGACACCCTGTATTGTTACTCTAATGATCTCACAGCCATGTTCCCTTCGATGGGCTGTGCCTATATGGTTAAATTAATAAGCACATAATCGTATGCCATTCAAATTAGAATAATAAGGTAAATTTCTAAAGGTCCCCTTGTTTTTAAGACACCATTTACCATATATACATAAAGTTGTGGTTAGAACTCGACAACTGTCTCCCTGTACTCAGCTGGTTAGAGCGCTGCACCGGAATCGCAGGGCCGTAGGTCGCTCTGTCTATTTTGTTCTGCCTAACGCATTTACTTGTGAAGGAGAACTCAATGGGTTAAACTCTTTTATTTCAGAGATTGCTACAACCAAAGGCACCTTCACCTCACTTGATATCAAACCCCAGAACCTGCTGGGCGCTGCAATGTACTCTCTGGGCGGTCCATCAGGAATTCGATACGACGTCAACTTCCAAGGATGTATTCGAAACTTTGTGATTGATCAAATGAAACCTGTCGAGTCCTATCTACAAAACGACGCCGACTATACGATGTACGGCTCCACAACCATGGGCACTTGTTAGACTGTTCTGAAGTTTGAACAGTTGTTTATGTCGATTCTATTTGTATGTTAGTTTTTTTTATAGCAGTATATAGAATTAAGGCTAATAAGTGGACTCAAATACCTATGTTTTAAATGCATGATAATTTTGTTATAGGATTAATGCTAGAAAGTTAGTCCATATAGTTTTATAAATCTATAGTAGACTATACTGTTCCTCGTTCGCTTTTCGAGTTTGTCAATCTGACATTTTCCAGAAAAGCTCCAAAATTCGATTGTAATACTGCCCATTTTGGAAAATGGATACCAATATTCTACGTGTATACTGGTTTCGTTGTGTGGTTTAGACTAATAGGTTAGCACTAATGCTTGATTTTTTGTACGTTAATTTGTGATTAGAGTCATTAGATTTAAGTCCAATCAGATAGTAGTATTTATGGGCCGTGTAGTTTCGTACATTTATACTTGTAGCCACTATTGATTTTATCGTAATGCATAATTTTAATTCAGAAAGTTTGTTTTATCTTGTATATTCGTTATATTGCTCAGTTAGTCAAATATATTTCGTAAAATGTTTGTGTACTGTATGAATGGTTTCTCTAGTTTGAGCAAATGATAGCTGTTCACCAGTCCACACCGGGGGGGGGGCTAAAAGGACTAAAAGTGCCCTTTTTTGTGATGAAAAGTGCCCTTTTTTGTGATGAAATGTGCCCTTTTTGTACAAGCTAATGTCGCTGTAAATGCGCGCATCTGGCAGCCAGTCTGCCATGTTCTTAGCAAGTGCCCTAAAGAGAGGCATTCCCCCCCTGGAACATTAAATTTCAATATGTTTTCAAAGGGGTAACATCTTCTCTTTAGGGCAATTATTAAGAATACGACGGACTGGAAAAATCCCTTACGCTGAAATTAATAAGAAGTGAGACATCTGTATGGTATTTACTCTGTGCTAATATCCCGCCTCTGTGGTACGAAGTTATGTAAACATACATGGATGGTCATGGCGCATTCGTCTTCGAAATTTTTTGTTGTAATAATTTAAACAAACTGCACCTGGTATTACGACTTTAATAGAATCTTTTTAGATCTATTAATGTCTATTTTTATTTGTATTTTTTGATATGTCGCTTAATACTATATTATAGGTCAAAATACTAGGTAAAAAATGTTCATCTCGGGTAGGTGGGATAATGCCTTCATAATTCATATGGAAAATTTTGTCCCTCTTGACTCAGATTCCGCCTAACACAAGATGAGATCTCGCCTACACGCGTAAAAACGCACAAGTTGTTACAGGTCTGCAAACAAGTTGTCACAAATCTGTTCACAATTAAGCTGTCGACAAGTTGTGTTCGCACTGCTTGTTCCCAGTTGTTGTAACAAGTTTGGAACAAGCTATTAACAACTTGCAGTTGCAACAAGCTGTTAACAACTTGCAACAAGCTTGATGGCATTATCAGACTTGTTACAAGGTTGTTCTAACAAGTCTGATATATACCTTCTAACATTCTGGTTATATCATGACTGTTGATTACACAGGGTTGTAACATACAGATTTAACTCGCGTGAGTTTCCCTCGTTTCGACGACGAAATATTTCTCCGTGGAAATCCTCGCTTAGACTTTAATATGGAAGAACTATTCTGCTCACATACAACTGGGGATTAGCAAAACAACAAAATCAGGTGTTGGAAACCACACGTAAAGAACATACTTTAATACTAACCATGTAAAAAGTCCACCCCGCGATTAAAGAGTCATCTTAATTCGTCACGACGTGAGGTACAAAATGGCGTCTCAAACAAATTGCAGGTCTCTTCATAATAGCAAACGCTCTTGATAATATGTTACAGTTTTCAAACCCGAGAATAAATGTGGTTTTCTTCTTTTCCAAGTCATTCCAGTGAACTAGGGCAATGTTGTATTAACTTATACTGTTCCACTAAGTTATTATCCGCGACTTTTGCTCTACATTTCGAGAACACTTTAATGAACTATCGAGTATCGGCGGTGACCAAGTGAGATATACTGTACACCCTGTATAAAAAAAACGCAACCTCGGAATTTCCGAAGAAATCCACATTGTTTTAATTTTTAAAGACAAAAGATTTTAGGCGCCTGGGAATTTAAAATAGCACAACTGTCAAAATTACTGCACACGCGAGTGCATAAAGGAAAATTTATGCATTTATTTAATGCACAACAACAGTAATATGATCTATTAACAATCCGATTTCAATTCCCAGGGGCCTAAAATCTTTTATGCTTAAGAATTGCAAAGTGATTTCTTAGGAAATTCCGAGGTTGCGTTTTTTTTTATACACCCTGTATAGTTGAGATATGCGAGTTAAACCATGCGGGTCAAGCCCTAACCTGAAGTTCAGGCCCTATCACAGAATAGGGCCTGACACAAAACCTATCTAAAGTGTGGGATTCCCGTCCACCTGGTGGACGGGAAATCTGATTGGTTGATCAGCATCATAAAGGATTTTGATTGGTTGCAAGTTCACGTAAACAACAGTTTTAAAAATAGCTCGGTCAAGGCGAGAATTAATATAAAGGTCAAACGCACGTAACAAATTCCATTATCGATTTCTTCGAATTTCTTTTCTTTTATGCTTTATGGAAGAAAATAAATCAAACAAACAGTATTTTGAAAGGGCTTCATCAAAATCTTTGACGAATTTTGGACACACAACGACGCTGAAAGAACAGCCAAACTAGTCATGTATTCGAAAGCTTGTTGTTGACAGCCAAGATGTTCTGCCAACTTGCTTCGCCGGCAAAAGTCTTATTTTTAATATCAGGTCCTACCGGCGTTGTTTTCTGAGCTACATCGCCTTCTTCGTGGTATGATTGAGAATTTAATTGTTGCTGTTATTAGCCCGTTAGTCGTTAGAGTATATCCGCGTCCAGCAAGTTGAGACCTTGAGAAAGCTTGGCGCAGTCAAGCCGTGCACAGAACTGACTAATTAAATCTTTGTGTGCTGTTCGCCTGTTCGGTTAAATAGAGAAACTGACTCTTAATTATATAAAAGTACCTTGAATTTTTAAGTTTAATTAAAAAGCAAAATGCTCTGCGGACACGTTCATGAGAATATAATTTTTTTGTGCAACGAAATCTACAACACTTGTCAATCATATTGCATGTGTGTCTAAAAATAACATGTGGGCGTCTCACGGTCTAGACAGGTTTTGTGTCAGGCCCTATTTCAAATTAGGGCCTGAACTTCAGGTTAGTCAAGCCCATGCATACACTCAAAACGTCTCAAAACGGACTTATTTCAAATATATTATACTCAAGAGAAAAAGAGACTGTCGAACACCTCATTTCCATACATTATTAGCGTAAAAAGGAAGACGTCAAAACAATAGGATGTCTAAGGAAACTTTAAACATTCACCTTATTGTTATAATTTGAATGTCTGAATACCATAGGGTGTATAAAAAAAACGCAACCTCGGAATTTCCTAAGAAATCACTTTGCAATTCTTAAGCATAAAAGATTTTAGGCACCTGGGAATTGAAATCGAATTGCTATTAGATCATATTACTGTTGTTGTGCATTAAATAAATGCATAAATTTGTTTTATGCACTCGCGTGTGCAGTATTTTTGGCAGTTGTGCTATTTTAAATTCCCAGGCCCCTAAAATCTTTTGTCTTTAAAACAATGTCAATTTCTTGGACATTGTTTTAAGGACAAAAGATTTTAGGTGCCTGGGAATTTAAAATAGCACAACTGTCAAAATTAATGCACACGCGAGTGCATAAAGCAAAATGTATGCATTTATTTAAAGCCTGATTCTCATTGAACATCGGCGTAAACATCGGCGATGCCCATTGTCGGTGGTCATTGATGCATGAAATGTTTTGTGCATTTTCTTCTTCGTTGCTCACAGACGATGGATCGTACAACATCGCCGATTAATGAGAACCAGGCTTAATGAAACTTAATAAGTTTTTATTTTACAAGTACAGCACAACAACAGTAATATGATCTATTAGGAATTCGATTTCAATTCCCACGTAGTGTATAAAAATGTAAAAACTCGTTGGTCTATAGTGTGACTAGGGGCCTGTTCATATGGGCAAAAGTTATCCCGGTTAGCGAGAAAATTTTTCGACAAGTTTACAAGCGAGATCTCGCTCGGACCGGGCAAACCCGGGGGCCCCCAACCCCAATGGGCCAAATGGGGGCCCCAGGCTCAGGCTGTGAAGCAAAAACATTGGCCAGGGAGGCCTCTGATATGTCACAATGTCGTTTTCTTACCATCAGAATTCTGTAAAATCTCTCCCCAATGTCCGGGAAATGGCATTTCAGAGACTCTACTGTAGATTCAAAAATTTTCCGGGTGAGCCTGGACCCCCTAGAGAACTCGTGCATATACGGCGCTCGACTCGTGCCTTTGGCACTTCTACTAGGGGGCCTTCGAAAATTTTGAACCGGGGGCCCCCTGATATAACGTTACGCCAACGGTTACATTAACATTGTCCACCTCGATTTCAAGCAAATTCGAGAAGTGTCTATTAAAATTTTATTACCGTCACCCTTTCTTTCTTTATTAAAATCGTGCAAATTGTGCTACAGTGCATGTTCACATTTGTGGTTAAAGGCCGTGCTACACATCGAAGTCCCTGACGTAGAGTCATATTATATGATTACATGATTGTGATGAAACATTCTTTATCGAAGTTTATATAAAACACCAAATATTGACCCATATCATGGGTTCATGGAAACAGTAATTTACACGTCAGCATGACAATAATTTTTACTAAGTTTTCCCGACCCATGCAAAGTGTATGCTGGATCCTTCAGAACGTAAGATATGATGGGCTTCCTTTTGTTTATCACAAGGTCGTTGATCATGCCTTTGAAATTGACTGGATAGCGAATATCTGATGGTCCGCCAAAGATGTACAGGGCAGTGTCCACTGCGGTGCTTGGGGGCTTGAGGAGAAGTTGAGTGATGTTCAACGGAATAACAGTACTCACTGAAAAATTTGGAAATGAGTATGGTTATGAAACGGAAATGTTTGTCTAGTAGCTTGAATTGGGGTCCTACCCATGTTTCCTGAAGGTGGGCAAACCAGGAAACATTGTCTCCTAGCCATGTTTTCCAAAGGTGGGAAAACTTGGAAACATTAACTGTTTCCTAGCCATGTTTCGTGAGATGGGCAAACCAGGAAAGATTGTTTCCTAGCCATGCTTCATGAAAGTGGGCACTGCAGGACCCATTGTTTCCTTGCCATGTTTCCTAAAGGTAGGCAAACCAGGAAACATCCTTGCCTACAAATCTGCTTTTTAGATTTCAGTGCTTGTTTACTCACCTTGAGAAAGATCATCAACAGAGATGTTCACATTTTTCCAGCGTCTTTTCACGACAACATTATGCCACTTGCGGTCATTGAGACTTGCCGAGGGAACTGTCGCGCTCACATTGCCTGAAATATTAAAATAATATTAATAATTTAACAAAAGAAGTGAAAAATTGTTGAAAACGAAATTTTACAAAAATTGTACCAAACCTATACCGATTATACACAGCGGGAAACGAAACAACAACAACAACAACAACAACAACAACAACAACAACAACAACAACAACAACAACAACAACAACAACAACAACAACAACAACAACAACAACA